TAGAGACGGTAATACATTATAAAATTCCTCATTCAAGCAATTCTTGATTGAGAAATATAGTGGTAGTGTATAGTAGTTGCCATAGCTGGGCTCTTTTCCTCTGAGGTGATTAATCTGGGAAGGAACGAGGATAAGCTGAAATAACTGGGTAGCTGTATGTCATCGATGTACAGTGTCACGCCGTCGATGCAGCTGGCAACTTCTCCATTCGATTCGTTGTTACGCTGTCCGAGCCTACCCGATACTTTACAGGTGTACCATAGGGAAACGAAATTGGAAATTACGGATAAGCGAGGGAAGGGAGGAATGAAAGCGTTACACAATTTTAAATGACTTCGATACCGCTAAGATCTCGTGAAAAGTTTAGTCATAAACTGTAGGTAAGTATATTAGTCTCAGTAACAAAGTAGCGATAGTTCAGACGATCTTGGTGGTTAGTGGAAAGAGCTTAATTTAAACTGAGCAGTGATGGAAGTTTGAAAAAATCTTGATTTATTTTAATGTTATTTATGTAGTAATATGATTACCGACTACTAATAGTTACTCTCTTATCCGTGTTTATTCCTTACCCTTTCCCCTCCCCATCTCGTTCGAGAGGAGAGGGGAAAAGGAAAGGAACAAACAGTTTCTCCATTCTTCGCCTCGTTCCACCCACATAATTTCGAGTAGGTATTGAATTGAATCCATTCGTTTCGCTGGCGGCCTTTTCAGTTTTCCATATAACATTACGTGGAGTTTATTTAACATTGTTGGATTTGGAAGATCCGTTACTTCAGAATTCTGTTTTCCGTCTAAATCACTGGCAACTTTTCGAGTTGTTTCTGACCAGTGTTGCATCACCTGGTGTTCAGCCTGTCGATGATCCTAACATTCATTTTACCTACTGAATTGCTTGCCACTTGGCAAAGGCTTAAGCCGTTTGGAAATGTCCTTGTCTTTGTTGAGAGCAATACAGCTGTGAAATTTGTAGGCCACGATGTCTTATTAGACTAAGGGGAAATTGTTATACAGATAAAAATTATTAAGTTTTTTGCATGAATTCTTCTTTCGACCCCTTCTACCGCGCTGCTACTATACCCACTTCTTCCCTTTTTAAAGTTGCCTTAACTCCAATTACCGTTTTTTTTCTTTTCCCAGTTTACGACGTTTCAGGGTTATATTTTCAGGTAACATTAAAAGTACACGGCAAAGCGGCACATTCTGGTTATCCACATATGGGTGATAGCGCAATAGATAAG